GATGAAAACAGCAGGAAGGGTAGTCCCTTCTGAGGGCATGAGGCCTGCCAAGTTTCAAGGAGATAGGTGCAGGGGTTTCTTGGAAACTGCACCTCAAGATGCTGATATGCAAAACTTGTGACGTGTGACTGTGTGTGTGTGTTAAGTCACATCAGGATGAAAATCGCAGGGATGGCAGCTGTTTCTACATCCCTCCCCAGAACACTGTGATTGGAAGGAGACTCAGGGAAATATCACAGTCACTGGCCAGCTACAGATGTCAGTCTTCCCCCCCCCCCCCCCCCATCCCTTTTCTCAGTTTCTGTTCCCTTGATTCCCCCTGCCTCTTCTCAGTTTCTGTTCCCCTGAAATACTGCCTGCCAAATCTCCGAGCTTCCAAATCTTTTTCCAAATTGATTTGGAGGCTCTGAATCGATTCAGAAGGTTTTTTTGGTCTCCTAATTCGATTCCAATTCAGTGATTCGGCCTCTGAATTGGGCAGAATCTTCTCCGAATCGAATCAGTGACCAAAGCTTCGCACACCCCTAGTCAACACCTATACTAGTTCTCTTCTGAAACCAGGAGTTACAAACTACTGTCCTTGCACAAGAATGTAATTGGACTTCTTTGCACAGTTTCAAGCACTGAAGTGACAGGGTGCTTTCTCCATAGCTCACAGTGGCCCAGCTACTTACAGTGCACACAAAGTTAGGATCCATCATCTGCACCAGGAGTCGTACTGCACCAGGCTCATACTGCTCCACAAGTTCATCACACTGTAACAAAAAGACAAAGGTGTAAGGACAGGATGTGCAGCTAGCACTGCATGGGACAAAGTAGAACCTCCTGATTCAAGCAGGCAATCTCAAGCAGTCTCATATTTCACAACTAAATAAAAGATTCCACTGGGATTTGGGAGGCAATGCTGGGGGAGGAGAGAGAGAGTGGTCCACCAGTGAAGGGACAGAATCTTTTATACATACATCACTCTGACAGCTACATTTACTGTCAGTGACTCAGAAACTCAGATATAGCACCCTGACAGTAAGGTTAAAGGAAGAAAGGCATATGTGCTTGAATTTGCCTATGAATTGCCAGTTTCAAGGACAGATTTACAATGATGCTGGATTTGCCAACTTTCCATTTTTGCCCATTGTAGATTGTTCTCCAGGTATGACTGAGAGGCAGGCTGCTATATATTAGAGCACGTATTGCCACCTGATCTACCAGAGATCAAGGTTGCTCCTCAGTCATGCAGTTTCCTTTGAGCAAAGAGGGAGCTTATACCTTTTGACACTGAACAACAGGAGAGACATCCTAGCAGGGATCAGAGTGCCAATGTGGAGAAGCTTAAAACCAAAAGCACACTAAAAGAGAGTCTCAGATGCACTGTACCAGCTTCAGTGCAAGAACCTAAGAACCCTTTCATAATTGTCTCAATATCACCCGTCAGAGACTGACTCAGTGAGGCATCTCCAGCACACAAGCCATCAATCTAAAGACTCAGATTTTAATGTTTGGCCTCAGCACTCAATAATTTGTTCCCATCTGTTTCTTCACTTTCTTATCTAAAGTATATGGGTGTGAAGGATAAAGGTAGCAGAAAATCAGGTAGGTTAGAGTGACACTGTAGATGATGTACAGATGGTGCTCTTCCGTTCCCCATATAACTATTTGCTATTACCTTCTCCATCAGGATGTCTGGCAGAACCTGACAGCCCTTCGTAAGCATATCACCAATTTCAATCAGAGTCTCATTCTTCAGCAGCTCGTCATCAATGTAACTAATAACAATCTGACACACGTGGCAGAACTGATCAGCGTTCACTAGTGCCTGTTCCAGGGCATTTCTCTCTGACCAGAAAAACAATATTAGAGTGTTAGATCTGGAAGCTTTTCAATGAAAGTTCTTCCCAACTTAGCATGCCCTAGTCTCAGACCTGGGCTCGCTAGCTTTCACCTCAGCAGCCGGCCTCAGGTGAATGCTGGACAATGAAAATCATATCCTTGAGGTGGGCTTTTCAAATATAAACCAATGAGTTCTGTACACAAATGTGCTGTCCCAGTGCTTACCAGTTTGTAAAGGGGTCGAATGTTTGGGACAGCATTTCAGCACGATGCATATAGCTTCAGGATTAGTCGCCTCCAACAACATGACAACAACAGCCTTGCCATAGGAGTCCACAAAGTCTTTACATTGCCCCAAGACCCCATGTGGTAGGAGGTAGCAGACCTTTTCTATTCCATGGACTATTTCATCCTGGAACACAAATATAGCAGGGGTGAGAAGGAAGAATAAGTCCCTGCAGTCTACTACTGCATATCTCTCTCCCTGCCCCCTCTATGGGAACAGGGAGCTCTCATTCTTCTGCATAACCCTTCCCTCTGCTAAAGACAAAGCTTTTACTGGGCATATTCATGCATAAATCATTCATGCAAAATAGTGCCTAAGCCAATGTCTTTCCCAAACCTGCCTTTTCCTCAGTCAGGAGGCAGCTTGCAAGCAGCACTCCTCAAGCATTTGTGGAATTCCACTTCCAACAACCCCAAAGCTTCTCTCTCCCCCATGTCAGAGTTCTCCCACATGTTCTAAGCCCAGAGCAGTATGCATATATAGCCTGAATAAGCTCTGTTTCTAAGTATCAATGTACTAGGGATGTCTTCTTCACCAGCCATGTACCTCTGTCATGTTGTTCTCCAACAGATTCTCCGCTGTCTTTATCACCATTTCACACACACTGCACAGGGGGGTGGATTTCTCTGCGCCCTGGTTTTCCTGTTAAGTATAACAACATGGCAACACTTAAAAGATGATTAATATAATTGGGAATTGTGGTCATGTCTGTGGAGCCTTCTGCTTTCCACCTTCCAATTTCAATCAACCTCTATTAATAGTCCAGAAGACATTCCTTTTGCCTTGCAATCTCTCCAAGAATAAGCCGACCTTACTCAGTTTTATGCATATGACACTATCCCATAAAAAAGGGAAGGGTCTGAGATTCTGACAATTCCAAGCTGTGTCTAACCATCAATCTTGCCAAAGATTTAAACTTTGGGTAAGGACTACAGTAGATTGTTGGATACTGTTTCTAGAACTATAGTTCATGAATGCAGTTACAATCAACTACAAAGGACTGTCCTGACTAGTGCTGATGGGAGAGGATGCAAAAACATTTGGAAAAAAAATACAAATGTTCTCATAAAAAGATGTATGTAATTGAAACATTTCAAACTGAGAGATTTTGACCAAATCTAAACCTGATCCTGTCCTACTTCTGCACTGTGTTTCTTGCTTTATCATTTTAATTTTTAGTCGCTGGTGAATACTGAGGTGGGTACAGTATAAGGAAACACTCTTCTAAGAGGAGAAGCTTCATAACCTAACCAGTTCAGTGCTGTTCACCAAGATAGTCATGATATTTAGTACAAATCTGACAGCCAGCCCTTATTTGTATAGCTTTCATTCCTCAGCCAGTGCTTATATTGGTTACAGGAAGGCAGAAGTAGGCCTGTTCTTTCCGTGGTAAACAGCAGAGGGTGCTGAAAGCCTCATCTTACCTCTACCGGCTCCATCACATTAAGCATGCTCATCACTTTAGCTGAGAACAGGGTCATGAGGGGAACAGATTTCTGGGAAGTGCAGAGTCCAGCCAAGCCACAAATATCCTTCGGCTGCTAGAGAGAGAGAGATGCAAATCACAGAAAAGAGAAAATCTATGCCAATTTGACTAAGGAAGGAAGAGAAACCTCCAGGGCTGCACTGCACTCAACTACTATAGGTGTGAGGCTGTTTTCCCAAGTGTTCATGAGAGAACTGTAGTAATTGCTATAGCTGTGGATAGGCTGTCCAGCCAGTGGACTAATGACATTTCCTCTGTTTAGAATACAGTCAAGATGACGTTGGATCTGTAACTAGTCTGGATTTAAACCTGTGTCATAGACATTATGCTCATATCTGTAAAAAGATTAATCACTTCATGTCTATGTTCTCTGCAACCCGCACTAAAACACCAATGCAGCCACATAACCTCTGCTCTTTCCTCCCTTGCAGTTAAAGTGTAAGGCAGCCTTGCCACAAATAAGCTTCTGCAGTATCAGTGGACAATTTACAGCAATGGTAAAAGCTGTGCATGGGTGAAAGGAAAGCCTCAGAGCAACATGTCAGACTGTCTGGCTAGGCACTGCCTTTCACTAGATAAGCAGATCAAAGTATTAATGTTACCACAGCATTCTGTGCATGCAACATGATATGTCTCTGTACCATGACGGACACAGGAAGTCCAATGCTAATCTTACACTGGTTTTATACCAGGGTAAGCCTTTTCATTTGCGTGGAGTTATTCCTTCTTTACTCTCAGAGCCAAGGCTGGGGATTTTGACTGGTTTGTGCCATTGATCCTGCTGGGACTTAAAAGCTGGAGGTTCCTGGCTAAAGGGTCTTGCCCCTCCACTTAGGGTCAGACTGATTGTCCTATTTGGGGTTGGGAAGGAATTTTACCCCATCATCAGATTGGATGTACTGTGGGGGTTTTGCCTTTCTCTGTAGCAGAGGATGTGGCCCTCTATCTGGGATCTCTTGACCATATATTAACAACCTTTTACAGAAGCAGGACATTGGCTGCTGTGTTTCTCCTGCTTTACCTGTGGCATGTTAGGGTGTTATATGTTGTGTTGTGTCAGGGTTGATGGTAGTTTTACTAAGTTAGATTATGGATGTGTATAGGATGGTTTGGAAAGAGAGGAACCTGCCTCAGGCAGAGGGTTGGACTAGATGACCTATGGAGGTTTCTTCCAACCCTACCTCTTTATGATTCTTCCCACCTACACAAGGTCTTCCAAAATTATAAAACAGAGAGGTGCTGGGAAAGCAGGATAGAGAAAGTCTTATTTTTAATTCTCAGTTCAGAGCCCAAACTTTGGCCGTGACCCAGAAAGGTTACCTCTAGGGAAAAGCCAGAAATGTGTTTCAAGAAAAAAATGACAGGCCCAGACAAGACCAAAAAAAAAAAAAAAAGAGTTGATTTCAGTTATCTTCATTGTAAAATCACAAATCTAGTAAAAATAGAACTGTTTCAGAAAACATTTCAAACTTCAACAAATATGCATTTTTTCATCAAATTTTTCCTTGAAAATTTTCCATCAGCTCTGCATTTGGACCCTTCCTGAGTACAGAGTTAAAGTCAGGAGGATCACCCTAAGCCTTCCCCATCATCAAAGCAAGGTCTTCACATTGGAGCAGAAACAGTAACTTGCTCACTGAAGACATCTGCTCCCCCTTCTCTTTCACCCCATTAAACATCATTTGTATCTGTCAAAGCTGACAATAACCAGATGTTGTACACAACTAATTAGCAAGAGAAAAGAAATTACAGTGATTTAGATAAAAACAAAGACATTACCACAGGCATGTTTTCCACATACCTCATTTTTCTGTCAGTGAAGAAGTAGAGTTGTGGAAAGAAAGATAACACAACAGTTAAATTCAGTGGGGAAAAATCCTTCCCAAGCATTCAGACTTTACATATGCAAAAATTCCATACAGAAGAACCTACTTAGGAAATCACCTCTCCCCAGCTTTCAGCTATGCTACTTTACCAATATAAAACAAACATTTCATTGGCCTTTACCCATTTCTGTTTAGCCTCCAGCATACTAAATGCCATTTTTCATGTTGCTCAGAGAGACAGGCCCTGATCAGACCTAATCAGGACAGGAGTTTAAACACAGCCCCAGACAAAACCAGAATGTTAAGGTTGCTCAAATTTCAGGTGCCCAAAACTGACCTGCACTCTGATACGCTTTTAGGGGATATGATGTACCACAATGGAGATTGATTTATTCCAGTGGAAGGGACCTACTCAAGTATAAGGCGAGAAATACTCTCCTTGCCTATAAAGCTGGATGTAGATGCCATATTTGAAATAAATATTCCCCTGTGTATAGTCTAAGTCACATAGAGTAAACCCTGGTCACTTTGCCCCTATGGTTTAATTTGCTGTTGTTCCAATGCCCCACTCGTCTCCCTTTCCCTGGTCCTCCCAATTATCAGCCTCTGATAACTGGTCACAATTTGGCATTATTTGTATTCACTTCAGAATGGTGAATTAGCTAGGGTTGGCTGTATTACATTCAACTCTGGCAGGACAAGAGTGTGACTTCTGCATCTTCAGAGTGAGATTGGTAAAATCAAAATAAGAAAATTCTCCAATAGTTTAGTAAAACAGCATTCAGATATTAATCTTTTCAGACTCCACCTGCCCCACTGCATGCACTGACAAGATATGCAGAGTATTAGATACGGAGTTTTCACACATTCATAAAGATCCTTAGAATGCGTCACAGTCCCTTCAAGACATTAAGCTTTGAGACATTAAGGTAATTCTTGCCAGAAAAAGTTCTGATGAAAAATGGGGTGTTCTCACTATATTCAGCTTACCATGTATGTCAGCAACTGGAGAACTAAGTCTGAGTACTCAGAGATGTAACTCTTGCACTGTGTGAGAAAGAGACAATTCAAGTAAATACCCATACGCTACACTCACCACAGGAGTTACCAGTGATGCAACATTATGAAGGAGATTCAGCAATGTCAGAAAATTAAAACAACATTTTCCACAGCAAATACTCTGATCTCAATGCACATTTTGAATCTGTCAGTACTTTGACTCACTCTATGTACTGTTACCATAAAGGAAGTTCCAGACTTTTGCATTAAACACTACTTTTTTGCTTAAAGTTCTAGCATTCTTTGCCTTGCCTTACTTTGGGATAAACTACCCCTAAGATTTAACTAACATCCTGAACACTGACTTTTTAGGGAGAAATGTTATCTCAGAGATAGGGAGGGAGGTAAAAGGACATCTTTAAAATTGGTATCTACCAAGAAGCTGGGTGGGGAGGGGTTAGGTACACCACACTGGAAGTAGTGGCATCTCAGCAAGAACCCTAGGGAGGTAAGGACTTAGGCTCCTTAGGCATCTTTGAAAACCCCAAACTCAACCATTTATGACCCAAAGCTTTGTGTTTGATGAGTTGGCCCAGTAAATAAAATGGTAGTGAATTATCTACCCACTCAGAAGTAGTACACATTGTCTCTGCCCCAAAATAGGCAGGATGGTGTTGAAACCAGAGTCTGCATATATACAGTGCTTTTTTTTTTTAAACCAGTAATTGTCAATCTGCCCCAACTGGACCCTTAGCTTAGTCACCATGAGTTAATTAACTTCATATTGGCTTCAGGGTAGGAATGGGTTGAGGAAGGATTTGAAGGAGCAGACAATAGAAGTTGTATATGTGTATATACATAGTTCATTATGAACAAGCACAACCAGAAATATTTTATCCACCTGAGATGGTAGGAAGGTACAGACTGTGAAGAAAGACTCTAGATCAGAATATTAATAGCATTTATCACACAAACAGCCAATTGTTCAGTATCATCCAGACTATCCCTAGAGAAGGTTTTCTTATCCTACTAAGATCAAAATTACTCTACTTTGTCATCCATGTTAGGTCCCAAGTGTGCACACTCCTCCTTAGCTTCAGCAACTATAGACTCAAGGAAGAAGTTGTTTTTCATTTCTTTCTGAATATCAGCTATCAGCTGAATGCAGGTTCCACACACATCTCCTTCCTGCTAGAAGAGAATAGGGGAAACCAAGATTAATATGCATGGCCTGAGCTTATGGTGCTATTGTGTCTTCCTCATTAACAGAAAACCCATTTACAATACTTACCTCTACACCTTTAAAAAAATTCATCTTTATAATGCTGCTATAAGGCAAGTATTATCTTCTCTGACTTGTGAGGAAAACTAAGGCAAAGAGGTTAAGACCTATTTGTAACCATATTTATACACTGCTCTGCTCATCACTTCAAGGCCTAAGCAACCAAGGAGTCTCCTTTTGAAAAACAAAATTAAGCCCTTAGGCACTGTTAACTCAAAGGACTGATCTGCATTCCAAACCAAAGCCAGAACACTACACTACCTTATGTCAATCAGTGCACTACCACTGCCTTATACACTAGCTGAGGAACTGGTCCTCCTTGCGTTGGAAGTGTAACTGTGAACTGGAAACCTGAGCAGGATCCTTGCTTTCTTGTACTGTAAAGCCTTGGGTGTATTTCCATGTTTAAGGAGAAGCTATGAGCCAGGGGTCAGCAATGTTTTTGGGCCAAGTGCCCCCCAAAAAACCCTGCAACCTGAACTTGGTAAATGTTGGTGTGCTGGGGCAGGTGGTGGGAGAGCTGCGAGGGGCCCAATCCTTGTTGTGGCAGCGCAGCCCCACCCCTTTCTTCCCATGCTCCCTGAAATCCATGTACAGCCTGTGCCAGCAGAGTCATGCTGAGGCTCTGGACCCTGGTGCAGCTATTTGCAGCCTTGTGGATGCTTGCTGCAATCAGCCCAGGCTCTAAGCAGGCTCCTGCCACCTGCCATTGAGCCTGGGCTGCTCACAGTAGGCAGCAGTGAGCCTGCAAGGAGCTGCACTGGGGTCTGGAACCCCAGCCTAGCTCACTGCTGGCAGTGGCTGCACATGTGCCTTGGGGAACAAGGTGGAGAAGAGACCAAGGCTGTGCTGCCCCCAGCCCCTTCCCCACTGTGAACCCCAAGGTGTGTGTGCAGCTGCCAGCCATGGAACTGGGTTGAGGCTCAGGACCCCAGTGCAGCTGTCTGCAGTCTGCCTGCCATCTGTTGTGGGCAGCCCTGGCTCTGTGGCGGCAGCAGCTGCATGTGTGCCTTGGGGTGCATGGTGGGGAAAGGGCTTGGTAGAGTGCAACCCCAGCTCCTTCCTCACTGTGTGCCCCAAGGCATGTGTGCAGTCATTGCTGGCTGCGGAGCTGAGCTGAGGTTCCAGACTATGGTGCACCGGTTGCAGCCTCCCAGCTGCCTGCCACATCCAGCCAAGACTCTGGGCAGCTGCTGCCTGCCACATCCAGCTGAGGCTCTGGGAAGCTGCTGTCTGCCACAGAGCTCAGCCTGCTTGCAACCTCCCAGCTGCCTGCTGGGAACAGCTGGGGCTCCGTGGCCAGCAGCAGCTGCGCAGAATGTGGGCCAGCTGTGGTGTGCCAAGCAAACCAGCCCCATGTGCCATGTTCTTGCAGACATGCCAGGGGTTGCTGAGCCCTGCTATAAGCTGTTAACAAGTACTGAGACAATGGAACACAAGATCTCCTGTTTTTTGCTGCAGCTTACTGACTGCAGAAGTGAATCTGTCCATATTTCATCCTCACCCAGGTCTCTTGCTGGGGCTTGTTTTGAGGATAAAGGAGAAGAGGGACATTAGCGATGTAGGGAGATGCCATTTCAGGGAAGTCCATCACCGTTTTCCCATCAGACCGCAGTGGCTTCTGAAACTTCAAAGCACCCATTTGACTCTCCTGAGATAGGCAAAACCTGAAGGTACCACACACTGCCTGAGGGTTAGCCTGGGAAGAATACAAAAGGACAAGTCACCACTCTGATGCACCTCCAAGTCTTGCTATTTAGAGGAGGGAATGGGTGTAAACAAAAAGCAGCCCCCATCCCTGCTGCTTAAGGCTCCTCAACATTAGTTAAGCAGCCAAGCACATGAATGGATGGATGCTTGAATGCTCAGCAAAAAAATAAGCATTTGAATGCACGTAAGCATTTGAAGCATATTTTTCCCTTGCCACCTCCACCCCATGCTTTTATGCAATAGAACCAATGTTATTATCTCACTGAACCCATGGTACAATTCCACACTAATCCCCACCACAGGAAATGTTTTTCAGCTTGTCTATCTGCCTATGTTTTATGAAACCTCATTACCTAAGACGCTTCACAAAAACCAACAGTGTTTGGGATAAGCAGGGGTGTCTCTAGATAAGTAGTTCAAGCTGAGCAAGAAAAAACTAGTTAAAGGAAAAAGTTGAGCTATAGGTACTCATAATAAATGAGCTTTCTGTTGCATCAGGTCATATACATCAGTTCATTTTAAATCATTTTCATTTGAAAACACGTTTTCTCTTTGTCTTGTGGATGTTTATTTATTTTAAATGAAAAGGGTTCCCTTTGTTTCATGTTGAAAGATTTTTTTGGTTTTGGGGGTATTCCACCTTCCTCTTTTTCTTGGAGAAAAGGGGAAGGAAAATCAAAAGCCAAAAAGGTTTCAAATCCAACCTAACTTGAAATCTAACTTTTGTTTAATTAGAAAAATGGAAAATTTCAAAGGAAACAAAAATGTTTATTTGTAGAGCCCCAGGGGTTCCTGGTTTTGAGGGGAGGGTGAATAAAGTTATCTGTCCTGTTTCCACTATTGGAGTAACCAGTTAATGTTATTGCTACCCTCCTCCTGCTCTCTGGTCCATCTGACACAATAGTGGGTTTTGCTTTGCCTTTCCAAAGGCAGGAACTCTTGATTGTTCTGTTGAAAAGTGCAAAAAGCTCATGTGATGCCTCCAGCAAGAGTGGCTCCTTCCTTTTTTTCTTGTGAACCAAGAGACAAGGCTTCTTTGCAGGAGAACCCCCTCCCACTTCACAAACTCAGCCCCTAACCAGTCAGTAGATTTGGCCTTGCCATTAATTATGCACCAGAAGTCAACAACATTTTTTGCTCCCAAACATGTTACCAATATTTGTTTGCCAAACTGCAGGAGAATCATTACGCCATTGTCCACCATCTTCTTGCACTTGACTGACCAATCCTGAAAAGGAAGGTACTGGCATTTCTTAACCAAGAAAACACGAAGCTTTTCCTAGAAGAGAAGAGAAAAGAAAAGAAAAGGACACATCCATAAAGAATTTTGCTACATCCAGAAAGGCAAAAACAATACATCCATTCATTGCGTGCTCAGGGGAGACCTTGCAAACCCTGGTAACACCCTTAAGCTGTACCTTTGGGCAAGTTCAGCAGATGTTTTTATCTTAAACTATCTCTTTGGTGGAGTGCTGACCAGAGGCAACTGACTCCCCAGCCCAGCCTCTGGCTTCTTTACTTTGCATTCCATCCAGGAAGAGCACACACAAACTGCTAAAACTTCCTCAGCCTGACGAAGGGTTTTTGAACCCGAAAGCTTGCTTAATAACTATTCTCCAACTATTTGGGTTGGTCTAATAAAAGATATCAAATTCACCCAAGGAACCTTGTCGACCAGAGGAAATGGCACTTGCCCCCATCTACAGGACACTTGTTCTTCCAAAGAAAAGAGTGTCCCATGACTGATTGATCCAGAATCTTTAAGCAAAGCTGATGGATGTACCATCAATTCTTCAAATATCAGAGCAATTCAATTCCAGTTCAAATGACAGAGTATTTTGCAGCTAGACAATGATCTATCAGAGGTAAACTAGTATTCTGATTCTTCTTAGAGGGGAGAGCAGGAAAGGGACCCTATTTACTACACAGTGGACCAGATTCACAATTACATCAGTTCTTTTTTACCCCTCACTTCAGGGTACCTTTTACATTACAGCTCACACAGACTGCCAGAGGGTAAAAGGGCCTCAAGGTAGAACGAGAATCAGGACCAATATCTGTATGGAAGTTGCTGACCTAGAATTAGGAATATTGTAATCTGCCTACAACCACCAAGACATTTTCAGTAGGGCTGTGCAAAGCTTTGGTTGCTGATTTGATTTGGGGGAGATTCAGCCTGATTCAGTGGCCAAATCTCTGAATCTAAATTGAATCAGGAGACCAATTAAAAGGTCTGAATCAATTCAAAGCCTCCGAATCGATTCAGAAAAGACAGACCTGGGCTCTGTGCCGGTAAGTAGGGGGCAGGGGGAGAAGGGGACCATGGGGGG